GCAATGCCTTCAGTCTCTTCAAGTAGTTCCACAAAATCGCCAACTTTAAGTTTTATTTGAATAGGATCCTGATTTTCCTCAAGAATAGAATATGATATTGAATTATAAAATTCTAACTTCTTGTTTATTAATGCAGCTTTGGAATTTAAATAATCAGCGTATGCTCTATGAAGATCCAGAAAGAATGGATGTTCACTATCCAATTTTTTTGATAAACCTGTACTTTTAATTTTACTAACATCCCATTTATTACTAAATGAAATATTAATAAAATTTTTATCATGACATGTTATAATGATATCTATAACAGATTATTAAATTAGTAAATAATAATAATTTTATTACTAATAACTTATCTACTTACTATTATTTTCATCATCTACATTTTGATTATTTATAAATGTTAATGAACTTTCTATCGCATACCAGCCTGATAATATTGTATGAAGATTTGTATCCATAGCAAGAGTATGCATAGCATTAGTTTTTATATTAAAACGAGGATCTGCCCAGCCATCTATAAGGTGCCGTAATGTGTATACTGTATTATATCTCCGGATAAGATCAAGTTCAATTGCTTTATGATTTGTATGTGGTACAACATTTTTAAATGTGCGATGTACCATCTCCTTTATACCAACAGCAGTGTTTATAAGTGTAGCAAAATTCCGGGCATGCTGCAGAAGATGTATATTTATGTGCAAATTTGGTAGATTTGTGAAGTTATTTGGAAATAGCTAATAAAAATAACATAAAATATTATTAATATCAGATTATGCAAGATAATTTTTTTATTGTACTGTACATAACCTGCTAGGCAGTGAAAACTATTTTGGCTTATACTGTAACTAGTCGCGATATAAGTTTTAGCTAGTTATAGTATAAGCCATAATAGCTTCTACTATATTTCTACCCAGCATATAAAATTGAATAAAATATAAAATCATTATTATTAAAAAATATGAATTTTTTATCAGGAATTTTAAGTATTAAATAACGCCAAAATAAAAAATTAATTTTGCATAGCTTTACCAAAATTATAATCAAATATATAAATAAATTGCCTTACTTGTATCAATATTTTATTTTCGTATTCAAGTGTTTCTTGCAATTCTTTATAATGATTTTCTGTCATTTTATGTGAAAATGCAAGTTTTAGTACTTTAGCTTCAATTGCCCAACAAGTACATAATTTAGATATAGCTGAATTTGGGTTTTTATGCCAATTATTCAAAGTTTCTGTTTTGATATGATGAGGTTTTAAAAATCGACGAAGTATAAATGGCATTAACTTTGCAAGCCTGAGCACATCAGAAAACATAAAACTTTGGCGATGTCGCAGAGGATTGGGCATTCGACTCCAATTAGCAGGTTTTTCTATATCTTTC